GCTCGCCACTGCGATGCACCTGACGCGCCAGGCTACGGACACACGCACGCTCGACAATCATTGTGGAATTCTACAAGTGAATCTGGACTACGTGTCAGATGAGCTGAAACACGAGTACAGTCCAAGAATGCTAAGTCCAGTCCTATACATTGATGCAGGTCTTTCTCATTTCTTTAAGCTCGGGCGCGATCGCGCCCGCCGCGCTCCACCGATCGGCTTCTGCGGCTGAATGGCCCGGGCGGCCAGCTGAAGGTATAAAAACACAGCTTAATCAACAACTTTACTCTTCTTTCTTGGAATTGCCTGAAAAAGCCCTCCGCCGCCAAGGCAGGCTTGTTCCGTAGGTGTTAGCCTGCTTTGCCACTCAATTGACATAATTTGACCCAACGTGCATCAGGTTGCCTTTCTCGCTGCGCAGCCCTGCGCGACTCTTCTATACTTGGCGCCGACCGCGGGAGTCCAAGTTAATTAATGGATATATGTTGTCGTGTGCGGTCCCTGTAATAATATTTGTTTTAGTTCACAGAGTGGGCGTTGGCTAGCTCCCCCCCCCTAAATCCACCACTACACACCGGCGCGCGCACGCACCTCACCGCGACCGCACGCATGCACACACACACACACACACAGAGAGAGAGCAACGTAAAAACACAAAACGTCGACAATGTCAAACCGTTAAAACACGTTCAAGTGTAGAGACGGTGTGGAACTTTACACAGCCACTCCGCAGACGCTGTTCAATCTTTCCACACGTTAGGAAGAAAATATCAAACGGTGTGTATTTTTCCACACGCCACAGTTCGGGCCGCGGTATAGCACGATAGCATGCGCATATCACTATATAGTAACTCGCGATCGATTCGCAGTAATCAAAGCCAGCGCCGCCGCCGGCCATACGACCTTTCCAGTGCTCTGTTTTATGCAAGAGCCCGGGCTCGGCTCTATACGACTGTTTCACGTTGTAGGAAAAATATTTTGGAACTCTCTTTAGCGTAATGAAATGACCAAAGTCGGATATTTTGAATATGTCATGATCGGCAGCGCCGGCAGTCTTTGAATTTTATTTTTCTTGGAAACCTCTAAAAGTGACCACAGTCGTGCACATTTTTCACCTCCGAAATGTGAAGTGTCGGCGCGGGTGACCCGAACCAAAGCGTAATTTTTTGGTTTGGCCCTTAGTAAACAAAGAACAAACTTCAAACATTCTCAGTAAAATTTGTTTATGCCTGTCGCAAATATTGGCAGTCGCCCAAACTTTTATTGGCACCGTGGGGCAGGATGTGACTACTTGACTTTGTGCAATTTTCGGTCCGCCGAGCTTAGACATTGGTCGCTTGCGTCATAGCGCGAGTGGGTGGTAGGCGACCGTTCCATTTTCAGGGCATGCTCCACGGCCCACCCTATAAATTGTGCCATGGTGCGTGCCACCCCTAAATTGTTGCATGGTGCGTGCATCATTCGCGGCCTCATAAAAGTTTGAAAATCGCGCAACCAAAAGTCCCGTTAGTTAGTACTCACTAGTAATATAGTAAAACTAGCTAATTACTGGACAATGGCCACCTCGTCACAATTATTTACAAATGTTAGCCGACACACAACAATTTGTGCGTGTGTAAAGTAACTGAATGTATACAGAGGTACAGGTCTTATTAGATATACTATATTACCTCTGGTTTATACACTAGACACAGCATCCAAAATACAGGTACCTACCGGTAGCCAACAAGTTACCTGCTCGTTTTCCACTATACGTGCAAGAAAGTGAGTTTTTCTGTCCGACGCTGAAACCAGTCGTAGTGGGTTTGCGAGGGGCGCTACTACGTACAAGTAATTTTGGCTAGTTTGTTGATGGAGATTGTTGATGATATTTCGTGTCTGAAATATGGCAGGTACTATTGGATCTAGAATCTCTAAGGATTGAAGTTCAGAATAATAAAAACAAGTTTTCGTTTTACATCGGGATCAACTCTTTATTAATCTGATGTGCTAGTTGGGTTGTTGCGTTGGATTGAAAGAGATGTATCATGACAAAAGCATTGATATCATTGAAGGTGAGATGACATGATAATCAGTGGATTGACAATGACATCCCAATTTTCGTTTTTGGAATTTCACTCTAGACTGGGATTCGGAATTGCCGTCATTGATTCCCATCATTTCACACCCAAAGAGGCATTATGGAGAGCCCTCAAGCGAGCTCTCCATCATCCTTTTTAAGGGGGCCGCTTTGTGATTTTAGTGGAGCTCTCCATGCTGCCTCATAAGGTGACTGTGAATTATGGTAGCGTGAAAAAGGACCCACTATGGTGTTGCCTAGGGGACCAGTCATTTAGTAGTCCTCCTATACTTTCCAAAATCTTAAGCCTGCATTATAAACATAATTCCTCCCTTCCCTCCTGCCTCCTCTCCCCTCCCTCCTATCCTACTGTGCTACCTATCTCTCCTGCCTCCTCTTCCTCTCTTCTCCTGCTCTCCTACTCTCCTTCCCCCCTCTTCCCTAAGCTCAGGTTGTTTTGGGTATGTTATTATTTAAAACACAGGCACTATGGAGCGTTTCAATAAAATATAATGCTAAATAAAATACGAAATCTATTCTACTAGCCAAAGTCTTAATGTTTCTCTACTCTCTTTCCCTATTATTGGCTGACAATTCTCCTGGTACAAATCCCATCAAATGCTCATCTGCAACACCTGGCCCGCCCTGCATGCTAGTGGCCTGTACCATCAATAAATATATAGCCAGGTTAGCGAAAGCGTTGCTGCCAAATATTCCACTCGACGCCCGCTTTCATACGAATACAACACAAAATATTCAACCTTCTACTCCATCTTTGTTTCTATTTGAAGAAGCAGTGTTCACCGAAGTTGTTTTATAACAACAGTACTGTCTGTATTCGGTCTACCGAGCTGTGTCACGCGAAACTCACACAAAGCCCCTGACGAAATTTTCGCGTTCGCCTCCCCGTTGTGGAGTTTATGTAATGGCCTGCAAGTACAGGCTAGGGCCTTTATACGGCGGCGCAACTGCATTTTGGGAAAACGTGGCAGCGTCTGCCCGGCTTGCCCAAAAATTGAGGTCAGCCGAAAGCAGCGCCCGGTGGGTGTTTTCTGATTCCGACAGCATTTTTAAACCGGCAACGCGGGAGACTGCGAGAATTTCGTCAGGCTTATGTGTTTCGCTGTGACACACGCTCGGTTACGAACACCAGTATGTTTTATAACAGTGAACCACGTGTTCTTCAATATAGACAACACAAGATGGAGTGAATGTTGAAATGATTTCTGTGGTTGTATTCGTCATTTAAATCAATGCGAGCGTCGAGCGAATGTTGCAGCACGCTTTCCTACCTGCTATATATTTATGTGTCAGTGTGCAGCAGCTAGCGTGCGGTGTACTTGTGTGTTGCAGATGAGCATTTGACCGGCATTTACAAGTGATTATAGGCGAAATAGAGTAGAGAAACATTAAGACTGGTAGTAAATACATTTCGTGTTTATTTACCTTTCTTCTTCTTTTATTGAGACGTTCCAAGTGCCTGTGATTAAAACTGTATTGTTTGACTGCTATTAGTATTTAACTATTATTTAGTTCACAAATTTCTCTTGACATACAGGCACTGGCGGAGGCTTTGGGGGTGGCGATGGAGGTTATGGGGGAGGTGGAGGATTTGCTTCGCCTGGAGGGTTTAGCTCACCATCACAGTCACAGCCCAAAGCAGTAAGTATAGTGAATTATAACTCGACCGTATGTGTAAAGCTTATCTCGCTTATAAGCCATGTCCCAAAACGAAGATTCTATACACAGTTTCACAGTTTATTTAATAAGTTTCTAAAAACCAATATAAATATAAGAAGCTAATGAACAAAACTATATTAAAGTATTAACATTTAAAAGAAATCAAGACAAGGAACTGTACCTGCTTTTGTACAGGTGTTTTATCAATTTCAAAGATTGCTTAATTGCAGTGATGCAGTGGCAATATCTCTGGTGAAAATGCAAGACACTGCTTCATATTCCCTTCATAATATGAATGCATGTTATCAGGAGGGGCACGTGTAGTACAAAGCTACCAAATAAGTTTATAACTATTGTTGTCTTGAGTATAGTGTCTTGTTCAATGTACTTGTTAATGGTTCTTTTGGTGTAAATATGTCGCTGTATATCAGCGAGTATTCAGTGTGAAGGAATCGTGATAAATTTCAGCGGATGAAATCGCAGACGATGATTCCATGTACTACACAACAAATTCACAGCTCACAGCAAGCAGATGATGTGTTCAAAATAGGTGAAATGGACGTACATCAGGTGAGTGTGTGAATAATCGTTGATATAATAAAATTTCAAAACAAACGGGCTGAAACAGCATATATGCATGACTAGTACGTGTAGATTTCAACCATAATACAAGTCACTGACTCACTGATGTCACACATGTAATACGGAGTGATGAGCATCATGCACGTGTGCGGACGTTTTAGTACTGAACTAAAGTCAGAGCTCAGGGAAGCTAATGCCTAAAAACCAGAATGTGCATGATGTGTGACAGTGAGAGATCTATAAGCTGATAACCCCTGACTCCAGCACGGTTGCTATAGTGTCAAGTCAAAATGTTTAAAATATTGAAGACAGTTTACTCTGTTTACTCTGTATATTACAGGAGTAACATAATACTGATCTATTTCATTTATATTTTTTCAATCTTGGTATTATAATACTTCTGAAACTAAACGTGTGCAGATGTTCAGATGAATTTAAGCGCAGTACTGTGTTTTTTTTTGTTAGGTTACGATTGTAGGACTTGTGCGATCAGTGAAAGAGCAGACAACGAATATAACATATGAGCTGGATGATATGTCAGGCCCTCCACTCGAAGTCAAGCATTGGTTGGATAACAGCGTGTGTATAATATTGCTTGGGTTTCAATATGTTACAGATCACAGTGTGGATCTTTTAACATTTTAGTAGCATACAAATGTCGAGAGTTAAGCACTCTGCAAAAAGCGAAGAACTTTGGGATTTTTGTTACTTGTTCAACACTAAGACTGGTTAAGGATAAGGCCACCCTTAAAAAATTGTTTGTTTCCCCTTTACCTATTCACCTCTCAGGGTACTGAGTAGGTAGGTAGGTAGGTGAAAAATCGTTTTTATTTTGTTTTGACAAGATGTGTGTATGTATATTGTATATTCTGTTTTGTGTATATGTTTTTGCGCAACGAATTTGAATTGTTTTTTTTTTGGCAAAACGAAATAATTTTTGTTTTGTTTTAATCGGCCAATAAAATGTGTCGAGTAGCGGCGTTTTGGCGAGTCGGTCGGTAAAGGGGAAACAAGCAATATTTTATCTTAGGCCTAATCGGTACACCCTACATACAACAGCAGTTATGCTGCAATAATGATGCAACTTTCGTGTACTCGTTGCTCATGATCCCTGATCACAGTTCAGTGAATGTAATTTCTACGTTTATGTGATTATCACTGCAATATATTGATAAGACGTTTACAAAATAAACGCATATATTATGGTTAGTAATTGATAAATCTACATCTCTCAATTCCAGGGCAACGCGGCAAGCGACCAGACAAAGCCGATCGTCGAATACACGTACGTGCGCGTGCACGGAAACATCCGCAATTTCCAAGGTAAAAAAACGGTGGTCGCCTTCCGGATAACCGAGCTTGATGACCTGAACGAGCTAACGTCACACATTCTGGAGGTCTGCCACAACCACCTGCATCATTCGGTGCATAAAGGAAAGGTGAGAGCACATTAAGACACGTTAGCATGCATGCATGCCATATTTCGGTCATGACGTATTTTGTCGTGAATTAGTGGAGAGAGAGAGAGAGCTAGAGACAGACTTTCAGTAGATGCTGTGTAGTATAAGATGACATTTTATTTCTTCACGTTTTTCAATAGTACATTGAACGCAAGAGTATCTTCAGAATGCTTTACTGAAGCTGCATAAAAAACCACCACATTGTCTAAACATTTTTGCAGAGATGCATAGACTTTATATAAACAGGGTATGTGGAAGGTCTATAGTATATTGTGCATTATGCTGTTCATGCTGAACATCTTTCAATTGCAGCCAGGTTCGATGGGTGAACCCGCAGCAGTAGGCCAGATGAACACAGGTACAGGCTTCCAGGGAAATGTGGACAGTGGCGGTTATGCTGGTGCAATGCCACAAAATGGTCTGTCAAATGTTCAGCAACAGGTAAATACACATACTGTAACATATTAGGTGTATGAGTGTAGAAAATTAACCTGCCAGATCATTCTCGTAAAACAACCTTAGATTGTTGAATGTATAGATCGGTGTGGAATGTTGTAGATTAATATTGGTCCATGCAACAGTGATGAATTAAGACCGCTGCTATATAATTTTGTATACAGAACATCGTAAAAATCTTTTCCCTAATACTGACCTTATTCCTCTTGGGGGCAGTTTTCAGAATTTAGCATTTCCTCAACCTATGTAATTTCCTTCAATATTCCCCATTCTTAGTGAAAAATGAAAAAGTCTTGTGAATCGCCCGATTATTTTGGCCCTTGGCCTTTTAGGATTTATAGTAAACAAAATCTAGTTCAATAAATCCACTTTTCATGTTTGCGTTGTAGTGACCAATTCTGGTACATGCCACGTGTCAAAATCTCCGTTTTCACTAAATCTGTTGCGACATTTATCACTGCACTGCTTTTAGTGCAAAAGCCAAATCCTAAAATTTGGCTGACAATCGTCGTACCACTGTACATATTTTCGTACCACGTCCCACGTTTATATACTTTCATGCCCACAATAGCTTTGGTATCAATTTCTGGAATCATTGGGAGAAACTCTTGTGTTCGTGAGAAATGTAGTGTGACAGGTTACAGGAAATTTATATTTTCCGTGGTTTGTTAGCTCATCTGACATAGTCAGATGCAGCTTGTAGAATCGCATGATCGTCCGTCCGTCCGTCTGTCCGTCCGTGCGAGCGTCCGTCCGTCCGTCCGTGCGAGCGTCCGTCCGTCCGTCCGTCAACAGTTGGGCACAAATCTAAACGGCTCGACGTACGGTCACGATATTCGGGACGTGGGGGGGTAATCCGAAAACGAGTTGGGATGTCGAAGCTGGGGGTTAAAGGGTAAAGGGCAAGAGGTGGAAAAGAAGGGGGAACATTTCCTCCTTAATTTAAGGTATAGGGATAAGGGAGGAAATGCAGAATTGCGGCACAAATTCAAACGCTCGACTAGGCTCGCGATAGTCGGGTATAGCATCATGGTAGAAAAGCCATCACTAGTGCCGAAATTGGAGGTCACAGGTCGAAAGGTCAATGGGCCACAGGCGCGGATTTTAGGACATTTTCTGCAGGACATGTTTCTGGTCGACGGAGGCGGATTGAAAAACGGTATGTGCATTTTGTGTTTCAGCGCTGACCTAGCCATTTTTATGGCATTATTGAAAGGACCATGAATCTAACTTTCTGCTGACAATGCCACAGAGTAAAGTGTCAGCATAACCTTTTTGACCCCTCAAGAGGGATGGGCTTAAACATGGATTTGTTGACTGTCTTGTTAGAAAGAGTTTGACTGGCGCGGCGGTTCTGGCTAGGTAGGAATCTATACATGCCTGGCATGTGTTATGAGGCTCATTACAATGTCACAGCTGACGAATTTTCAAAAGCCTAAATTTGCCTTAGAAGAAGGTTTTATGCTTCGCCTTAAATCGGTATAATTTTATGGCGGTATTTCTGTACGTGTCAGTCATGTTAATGTACTGTTATGCCACTGCCAGTGCTTACTGCCAGTGCATAATCGGTTGGTGGTACGTCACTGTTGTAAGTTTTTTTGCC